GGCTTTGTTCTCAGGGGTTTACACCTTATTGTGCTGTGACACAAGCTCCATGTAGCACCTAGCAAAATTCCACCCGACGCTCCCATGTGGTAAAGCCCGCCGCGAGACAGTGAGCAGAAGCAATGGCGTGGACGGCTCATCCTGGATCATCTCGGAGGCGCCAGTGGAGGCAAGGTCACCTTTTTCTTTTTGGCGACCCCGGGGATTGAGCCTAGGGCCTTTGAACTGGGCTGCATCTCTAGCCTTTTTCATTTATTTTGAGGTAGGCTCTCACTGCATTGCTAAATTGCCCAGGCTGAACTTGAACTTGCAGTTCTCCTGCCTTGGCCTCGCGGAGTGCTCCCCATACACACCACGCCTGCAGCCTCTTTTCTAGCTTCTGGCAGCTGCTTTGCACCCCTTGATGGGCGGCCCCTCCCTTCACACGCAGGTCCCCCCTGCTCTCCACTCCTCCCTCCTCCCTGCTTTCCTGCCTCTGCTTCCTGAGCTCCCTCCACCCTTGCCAGCCTTGCACAGGGACTGTCATTATGCCAGCCCCCAGCAGCCTGCCACTTTGATATTCTTCATGGTTTTTTTTCCTTTTAAAACGGGGTCTTGCTATGTAGAGTAGGCTAACCTTGAACTCTAAGTGATCCTCCCGCCTCAGCCTCCTGAATGCTGGGATTACAGGCATGCTCCACCACACCGGCTCTTCACATTTAACCGAATCACTCCTGTGAAATTCCTGCTGCACCCAGAGGCAGCACTCAGGCTCCTGTGGCCCTCGAAGGCAACACTCAACAGTAGCATCAGGATGGCCTGGGTCACTGTTGAGCTGATGACACCCGGCAGAGAGTATTGGAACACACACAGGGTGAAGAGAGACTGACGGAAGCCTGCAACAGGAAGATGGGGAGGCCCAAATGCTGTTTTCCTGGAGCCAGGAGTGCTGGCGCCTGAACCCCACTCTGCCTTGCTGTCCTGTGCCATCCTAGGGCACACCAGCATGAGCACCCCCGGAGCTGGACGCCTTGGCCTGGGAACACCGATGCCACATGAGACGTTAGAGAAGGGGACCCTCCGTCGTGGGGTGCTGTGGTCTGCGCGTGTCCCCCAAGTCCATATGCGGACACATAATTGCAAGGAGCGAGTACGAGGTGACTGTCAGAGGGCGTGCTGTGCGGCCGCTCTCCTCTCTCCTGCAGGGGCACAGATGGTGCCATCTTGGAATGCAGGCTCCAGCCCTCACCACACACTTAGGTTGACTTCCCGGCCTCCAGAACTGCGACACATGGGTGCCCATTGGTCTGTGGCGCTGTGGCACTGGGGTCTGTGTGTCCCTCTCCGCCTGCCAGATCCGGGGGCTGACCTGGCCCTGACGGAGGGTGGAGCTGAGGACTGGCTTCCCCCAGGAGAGGGGCCGAGAAAGGGGTGAGTCAGGGCATCCGAGTCCTTCCTGCTGACCTGGGAAGATGTGCCCTGGCCGTCAGTATCTGAGTTAAAGGAAGATGACCTGATTCATAGTTTGAGTTCCTAGATTTGTTGTGGTTCATGTCTAGATGTCCCCATGTCCCCCAAAGCCTCGTGTGAACATGGGCCGTGCTGTGGGGATGCTGCAGGATCGTGGGGGTGTGATGCCAACAGGCGGAGGAGTCCGCCAATCAGTTTCCAGCCCAATCGCTGCTGGGAGGAGGGGTCCGGCCGGCAGAGGCAGTCGCAGGGGCGTGACCTTGCAGGGTGCATCTCCCTTTGCAGCTCTGCCCTTCCTGTCTGCTTGCTGTGCGCCATGCTCTAAGCAGCCTTCCCTGCGCCAGGCCCCTCCACAATGCCATCCTGCCTTGGAGCCGGCAGTTATGGACGGAAACCTCCCTGTGTTGGGTTGGGGGTATTTTTGCAAAGGAAACAATATAATACAGGACATATATTTTATAAGATTATTGATAATAGTCACCCAAAAAATGATATACAAAGAGAGTGCAGGAAATCTGTCCACACAACATAGAGCAAGAATCCAGCCAAGGGCCTGGATCCCATGATAATGTCCTGCACGAGTCCAGCTGAAGACCTAGAGCTCATAACAATGCCTCCCACGAGTCCATCTGGAGGCCAGAGCCCATGACAACGTCTCATGCAGGCTGTTTCACGGATCTACGCTGGGAAGGCCCAAAGGTCAGTGGTGGAATCTAGAAAGTCTGTGCCAGTGGGATGAAGGATCTGCG